ATTGGATGAACAAGAGCATTGAGCAAGGTAATTGAATTTTTTTCAGCCTTCTTTAAATGTACTGCTATTTTGCCTTTGTGGTTGCAACCGAGGTTCGACTTTGTTATTGCAGTTTCTCAGCTGATTAGCAACAGATTTGTTCATTTTTTGTGTGAGTTTATGTAAGTTTTACTTTTTCGAAGTATATTACTTAAAATGGTGACTTTACATTCCTTGACACTGGTGATATAGAAAAAAATATATTGTTTCCAATTGCTTCTAAGAATTTAATAAATATAGTTACTCATTATTTACTCATTCCCAATTGCTTCCAATTACATACGATGTCTTACTACAGGTTGGGCAGATTGCTACAGAGAAACAAATTCAAATCAGTGACACGTGTTTTTAAGCTTCCGAATAACGAATTCCCACTGTCCAGGGTGTACAAAATGTGCCATACCGATGGAACTTTGACTTATTTATGAATTGTTTAATTTCATTTGTACATTTTCTGTTTACTTAATATAAAACAGTTCTCTTTTCCTATATACTAAAAGTTCGTGACCAAACTTCTTTTAGTCTTCATTTCGAATTTATTTATGACATTTCTACTTCCAAGTTCCATCTGCTTTCTTGTTCAGTTTTATTGAAAAAAACTTATTATTTAATTAATTGTGTTAGTCAGATCATCTTTCATATATACACAAATTCCAAGTAACCTTCAATTTCTTAAAATTAAACAAGCTTTTCAATTCTTTTATCAAATGGTCAAGTTGTTATCAAGCAGTGTTTCATTCTAGATGCCAGTAAAGGTAAATATGGGGTGCTCTTGCTGCATGGAAGAAGGTATTTGAAGGGATACTGTCAACAAGGAGGAGAAATGTAAGATATCTAAAGAAATGTATTTTAATGATTTCTAGAACATTTGCATCACTTCTATTTGTGTTTGAAGCTGTAAGCCTTAAACTTTCCTTGAATTTGTTTGTTGCTATATTACTATGTTCAAACCATTCTAATATGACACATTAATTGAAGTTTGTGAAAAACAAAAAAAGAGGTTATTTTCTTTTTCTTTTATGTTCCAAGTTTATAGCGGTGTGTGTAGTGAAAAAAAATGATGATGGNTTATCAAGCAGTGTTTCATTCTAGATGCCAGTAAAGGTAAATATGGGGTGCTCTTGCTGCATGGAAGAAGGTATTTGAAGGGATACCGTCAACAAGGAGACAGAAATGTAAGATATCTAAAGAAATGTATTTTAATGATTTCTAGAACATTTGCATCACTTCTATTTGTGTTTGAAGCTGTAAACCTTAAACTTTCCTTGAATTTGTTTGTTGTTATATTACTATGTTCAAACCATTCTAATATGACACATTAATTGAAGTTTGTGAAAAACGAAAAAAGAGGTTATTTTCTTTTTCTTTTATGTTCCAAGTTTATAGCGGTGTGTGTAGTGAAAAAAAATGATGATGGCAAGGGAACCATTAAACAAGACAATTTGATTTCATGTCAAGATCTTTTATGTTTTGATAGAAGAAAAATTCTTACTTATAACTCGATCACACATTGCTGATGTTTAGGATTTTTATTTATTTGCTCTACTCTCTATTCTACAATTGTTCTTCTCTGCATTTCTATTTCAAATTTGCTTATGTTGCTATGCTTCTTATTGCTTATTCAAGCAACATATTATTCTACGAGTACCTCTAAGAAATCGAATATTAACACCATTTCTTGAGCCTCTTCCAAAGCATTCACCACTAAGTTTATAAAGAAGTCTCTTGAAAACTTACCATATTTTAAAAGAACAATCAAATATCTTCATAGAATAGCTGTCCTTTGTTTGTGCCTACAGAATAAACATTATGGCGCACAATCCAATGATAACTTTTTCGTCAAGATATTTAGTTGTTCTTTTAAACTTGGTTACATTTTCAAGAGACTTCTTTATAAATTGGTGCTGATTACTTTGGAAGAGGCTCATACTCTATAATCAACATTATCGTACACTAAAAGGTAATACCCTAATTAATATTTCCTATCAACGAATGCTTACTTTGGCACTAACTCGCTTAAACTCTTATCTTCTTTTTGGCACAGTGAAGCTTTAGTCTTCTTCAGGTTCTCAGTCCTATTTCCAGTTTCATCTTCCTG